GTCTATGGATAGCTATCTGTTTAATGTCCTTCACAAATGTTTTTTTCTAGAAAACAGGTTGCTATGTCAAGCACGGCCCGGCCAGGCCGGAATAATGGAAGGAAGTGCAGGATTTACTTTTCTATGAAGTGCATATAGGTAAAGTCACTTCTTAGATCACCTGCTTCATAACAGTGCACCCACAAAAATTCCCCAACCAGTCGTCAGTGCACCCGGGAAATAATGACTCACAGATCCGTCGGTGGGGTTGATGGTCTCATACGTCTTCCCATCATCAGCATCCGTGAAGCATCCGTTTATGAAACACTGGTACGGCATGTTGACTGTCATTGCATTGACCTCCTTTGACACCTGAGAGGATGATATTAGTAGCTTCAGGGTGCATCCATTGGCGAGCAGATAGCAAGAAAGAAGCTCGCTGCGAATGCAGGGTGAGAAGTTTCAACCATGGCCTTCTAGTTCCTGTTCTCCGGAAGAGACAACCATACGTAAGATGTGGACTGCAGGGTGCTTCACCCAGGATGGAGGCAGCATCCGTGAGGATCTAAGGGCTCCAGCCTGGGCTTCAAAAAGAGCGCAGATTTTCTACCTTACACAGATGAGAGAAGTCAAAAGAGCTACAGAAATGGAAATACTGCCACGCAGTGGCAGGACCGAGGATGCGCAATCCATGATTCCATTAAAAAAACAAAAAGTGAGACTCCATGCCAGGGGTGCTGGATACGTGGATCGTGATTTATTGCTCGGTCGCAAATGTAGTGTGGGTAGATTGCATGCATTAAAAAAATAGACGTAAGCCTATCATCAATCCAATCACTGAATTGACATAAAGTGCAGCTAATCAGATGCAATCTTAGGTGTCAAACGCATGCGCAAACTGCACTAAGTGCAGCAAAACTGACAAGCTAAGTTATTACCAACTTTTAGACCTTGTTTTTTTCTCTTAAACGTAAGAAAGGATATTAGAATGCGTGGGGGAGCTGGACCAAGTAAGATGCCAAAATCATATCACTTTCATACAGAATGGGAGATTTTGACACTACAAGCCGACATTCAGCTGAAGTCCAGAGCGCATGAACAGTTCTGGAACTTACTCTCAGAGGGAAAGTACCCCAATGTGAGACAATGTGCTACCTCCTTGACTGCATGATTCGGCTCTACTTATTGATACGAGTCAGCCTTTTCCACCTAAAGATCATCAAGTCCAAGTGCTGTTCCCCCACGACTGATGATCATTTGGAAGAGTGTTTGAGGCTGGGCTCAGCAGCTCCTGTCCGGACTATGCATCCCCGGCTCATTCCATTCAGTGCAGGTCATCAGAGTCAACTCAGGTCATGACAAAAAATGTACATGGTTAATTGTGTTTGTTGTGCAATACGGACTCATGCAGTGATGCAAGCAAGGTACATAAATATACATTGTACATATAAAGAATTCTCAATGCACTTATGAATATGTGTCATAAATAAATAAACACAATTATACGCTTTGCATTTTTGAACCATTTGCATTAGGCAGGGACGTTGACGCCCCAGAAGATGCCTTTGTCAGTGGGTTTCTTTTAACGCTCCTGCGATTTTCAGTTTCCTTCAGCTCCTCCAATTTCACTTTCTCTGTTGCCTGCACTGTACTCTCTACCACGGGCTGATAACTATGCTTCGTAAACGCACCGCCATTGAGTCAATTCCAGCTCACAGCAGGCAGCCTCATCCTTTTCCTGAAGCAGGTGGCTTCGAACCGCTGACCTTGTGGTTACCAGCTCAGTGTGTAGCCCACTATGCAACTAGGGCTCTTGTACACACCTAGGTCAATCCATTAACTTCAATAAGCCTCGGAGTTTTCCGGTTTTGTTTAACAGTAAAATGCAGAGAGGAGCACTGGCCTCATAGAATTATTATGAACATCCACTGGGACATGATCTGTGAAAAGAACAGCACTGACACAAAATACCCTACCAACCTCAGGTCTTCAAAGGGATATAAAATAACTTTAAAAATCATTGTGTAGAAGTAGATAATGATTTAGAAAGAAATAAAAATAAAATACAAGCAGGTACCCCACACCAGGTACCCATTTCCCATGAAAGATTTGTAGCTCAATGAAGAGTGTGGGAAACCAGAGAAAATCGGCAAAACCCAAAGTCATTGCTTTGAAAAGTCAACCAAACTCATAAACCCTGAGCTCCACATGGTTCCTCAGGAGCCCTGGTGGCACGGGGGTTATGGGTGAGGTGTTGGGCCACTAAGCTCACAGTCCACGGTTTAAACTCACCAGCTGCCCTGTGAGGGGAAGCTGAAGCCGTCTGCTCCCTTCAGTGTTCACCACATCAGAAGGCCTCTAGTCTACAGTGTTGCTAGAGTCAGCACTGACGTGGTGGGCAGGACTGGATGTGGGTTTTGGCTTTGCTACACAGGTCTGGTGGTGCAGTGGGTTAAGTGTTTGGTGCTATCCAAGAGGGCACC